TTGTCCTCAGTGCAATGTTTCCGCTGGGTAGTTTTATTTTAGCCACTGATAAAATTTTGATTCTGATAAGGCCAGAATTCCAGCAGAGAACATAATCCAGGTTAGATATGTCCTAATAATTACCTAAGTTGTAAACTCGCCACATTTCTGAATATTGTCCATAGAGAAAAGTTACTTTCAAGTAACTTAACAAAATCAGATACCATAAGAGGTACCCAAAGACATTTAGGTTATAGCCTGTCTTTAAACACGATTTGGCTATGTCTATCTTGTGCCAGGAACTGTGGTTCTCTGGTGGTTGAGTTCCAGATGACACCGTTCTCCAGGCGGCCACAGAGGGTCCTGATGGTGTCACTAACATGAGTGGTTCTGGGGAGCTGGGAGGCATGGGGATGGCGCCTGCAATCACACCGAGGCCTGGAGAGGTCCCCCAGGAGAGAGCAGGGCTTGGGTTGGAGTTGTTGGAGGTCATCGTGACCCGGCTAGATTGAAATGCTAAGTAAGGGTGTGGTACTCTTCAGAGAGAGCTGTGCTGGACAGACATAAAACCAACAAGGGAGAAAGGCAGGGCAGAGGTGGGGCGGGGAGAGCTGCCAGGGACCTCAGATTCCAGATCGGCGAGAACCCCAGTTGTGGAGCCAGACAGCGTGAGCCTTATCCAGGAAGGCACGGAGTCCCTTAGAGGCTGTGCTACCAGCATGGAGTCTCTCAGAAACTGTGCGTACTGGAGCGACCTGACTATGTTAAGGTCTGGGAAGCAAACCCTAAGATCAGAGAAGACGAGGCAGAAGCCTGTAAGAGCCCACCGGGGTGGGGAGGAGAGAAAGCGAGGTCCACGTGGGACGTGCTCCCAATGAGCAAGCCCACTGACCCCTGCACGTGAGGAGCTGGGCAGGAGGAAGGGCTGCAGTGTGGATGGAGCAGCCACCATGGCCCCCTACTGGGTGGGGAGTGCTGCCCTGGGGTGGGGGGGTTCTGAGTCCTGGTTCTATCATGTCCAATGGGGCTTGGGGTCCTGCTGGCACAGCCAGGCTGACCTGCTAACCTGGGGTGCTGCTGTACTGGGAGAGCCCGGCTGGACGGAGCAGCTGGGGGACAATGCGGGCCTGGGTCTGAATAGTTCCTCGGGCAGGGGACACTCAGAGGAAGGACAGCCCAGCAGAGCTAATGTCGACCCCGGCTGGGTGACAGAGGCAGCTGTGTCCAGGGCTCATCTAAAATAGTTTTACCAATTTATTTTTTATCTCTTACGTGTTAATACATCCCTTATTTCTAAATGTTGGAGGCGAATTTATCAGAGACCTTGTCAGCCTGGAACTGTTGCTCAGTTTCCACACGGGAGATGCAGCGGATGGTCACAGGAAAGTTGTCACTCCTACACGGGGCAGCAGCCATGGTCACAGGAAAGTTGTCACTCCTACACGGACACTGACGATGGGTCACCCCGCATTGGCCATCATCCTGCTCAAGGGCAGTTTAAACAGATCAAAGCACCACGAGACAAGCATTTTACTGCCTCGGATAAGACGGTAGCCCACAACTCAGTCTCACCCGCTTCGAGGAGTCCTCTTAACCATTCCGCTCGGTACTTACTCAGCTTACACCAGATAGATGAACTGGGCCCGTCTGTAAGACTCACATCACTGCCCTTTCCTTCCCAGACCCTTATTGCACTTGAGAGTATCAGTTCAGACACCCAGAAAGACTCTGATACTGCAGGTCCACTCACAGCCGGTGGCGACCCAGCCTTCTGGAGCTCCTAGTTCATGGATAATCAAGTCAGAACACGTCACGAAATATTTAAACAAAAAATATACCATTCTAATTCTCCAAGGATATTTACTGTTTTCTTTTCCATAAGACATGTGTGCTTGCCAGAGAAAGACAGAGGGGAAAGCGAGAAATCACTCCCCACCTCATAATCCTTTCTCCTCTTTTCTCCTCTCAGGATTTTGGGCATAGATGCACCTCCACCTGGCAGGAGTTTCAGGCCACCAGATCCAGGACTTGAACCGCACTTGGCCAAGTGGTATCCAATGCCTTAACCATCATGCTGCCTACTGGCTGGTACATCTACTTTTAATAAGGTAGATATTCGGCAGTATCACCATTGCAACCATTTATACAGCTTTCTCTAGTATAATCCTTTTTATTTGTTTATAATTGCTTATTTAATTTTATTTATTCATTCATTTATTTTTTAGTTTGACCAGAGAGAGACAGAGGGTGAGAGTGAGAGAGAGAAGAAGTGAGAAAGCAAGCCACCAGATTCAGGACTCGAACTCTGGTTGGCCATGTGGCAATGTCCAGCACCTTAACCACCACACCACCTGCTGGTTCCAGAATATAATTATTTTTTAAAAATTTAAGAACAAGGATAGAAAATTTCAAAGATGAAATTTCGATTAATTCCCCAACACACAAAGGCTCCTGAGTTCCAAAAGAGTAAGTCCCAATAAATTCACAGAAAATCAAAACCCCACAAGCTGCAAACATGTTTCCCACGGTGAGGTCCAGGATTTGCCCTGAGACTGTGGGACTGCCGGGGGCTGCTGGGGGCTGCCGACGGCTTAGGGAAGCTGAAATGAGCGTCCAAGTGCAGTTCTGCTGGAGAGCATCTACCCGGACGGGGGCTCCTGCACCGTGAGCCGTGAACCGACACCTGAGTGAAGGTGCGGGGCAGGGGCGGTCTGCCTCACACTCCCAGGTGGACTAAGGGCATCTGGCAGCCCTCCACTTGAAGAGTCCACATTCTCTAAGAAAATCTCTACTGCTCCATTCCTTCTCTGCTAAACTGGGCTTTAAAGTCCATCCTAAATAACTGCAGTCTCCATCCCACACGCGGCTTCCTCAGGAGGCGCTGTGCCGGTGTGGCTGTCAGCACCCTCGGGCCCGTGGTAAGAGAGCCATGTGTTTAGAAATCAGTTAGAAGAGAGATTTCCCGGAGGAGGCAGTGATGTAGAGGGAAAGGCTGTGGCCACGTGCGTGGACTTGTGCCAAGTGGCTGACAAGGGGCTGGGTCAGAAGCGCCCCAGACTGAGCCGGCATGTTCTCGAGGGAGAGTGTCCCAGGTCATGGCCACTCCTACTGGCTTAGAATAACTCTCGTTCAGTATTTGTCAGACTTTGGTCTGTCCATCAAGAATTGTTGGTGCCTAAGTCATGAGGCTCCAGCGAAGACTCAGAGTACCCCAAGGGGGTTCCCCTAACCCAGTGTCTGGTGCCAACATGGGGCCCGTTGTGTCCCTGCCACCTGGAGCGCCTCACGTGGAACTGTGTTCCTGAGGCACAAAGACTTCAGGCTCACAGACTCCAGCCAGGTGACTCTGAGTACTAGAAAAGACGTCAACTCAAAGACACCCCAGCCCCACTGCGGGGCCTCATGGAGCACTCTTGGTTAACTTCTGTGCTGCTGTGGACCCATGTCTCACAGCTAAAGAGAGCGTGGGGTGTGTTCTTGGCCACACGGGGTGTCTGATTCTGTCTCTGACACCTGCCTTCAACTTCAGAAGACTCCTAAACATGTCCTCCAGAATAATAATTAGAATAGACAATTCTTCAGAAATTGGACCGGAGAGCTTCCATAAACCTTGTAATCCTCATTTCTACCTTTACTTGCTATAGAACACATAGGAAAGAAAACGAAAGAGAAGAAAGAAGGAGAGAAAAAGTAGGGCCTGACAAAACCTCCATGCTCACCTCCTGGCCGTGGCCCGACCATGACAAGAAGAGCAGCCATGGCTACAGACTGATTCTCCCTGAACTGCCTCCACGGTCCCCAACTGAAATCCCTGGGCGGCCAAGAAGAGGCACGCAAACACCCTCTGAGTCTCCTGGGAGACACAGGAACTCGGAGAGCTGAGCACTGACATGGCGGGGACGTGCCTTAGCCGAGAGCTGGACTCGCTGCCCGACCTTTGTGACGCTCCAGCCTCGGACGCACACTGCACCCACAGCAGACCAGTTCGTGTCCTCTCCTGCAGAGTGCACCCCAACTGCACCTTCACACCTCAGAGAGCCCCTGTGAGACCCTGTCATCCACACCTCAGCAACGACAATCTAAAATACAGCACTCTCTGTGACCAACGCCACAAGAAATTTTAACTGAAAAGTCCCCGCAGTAGCAAGTCCGCTTTCCCAGGTCATTGCATTCGGTGTATTTCTACCTAAAACACCCTGTACCTCGGGCAGTCCTGCCTGTACACGCAGTTCGACTACTCTGTCTGCCGGGTAACAGCTGATTTCATCCCCTAGTAATAGCCATTTCTAGAAAAAACAGTCTAAGGCATGAAACTTAGTACTTTTTGAGGCTATATTTGGATTTAGAACTATTTTCACAAGTCACTTCAAATTTAATGGCACACTTTTTGACAAATACCTAAATTTCCTAATGTAAGTCCTTACTTAAATATAAAATTGACCTAACGTGAATTTTCTCCTACCATGGATCAGCTTAAACTAAATGGATGTTATGACCATAGTTTAGCTTTTTAAATTTTTATGAATATTCACTTTATGGTATTTCTTAAAACAACTTTCAAGCTGACATCTGCTCAGAGCATGGACTCTCGCTGTCTAGTTAGGGCTGCACATTCAACCTGGGTACTGCAGGGCTCACCCAGAGGCCCGGCTCCTCGGGAGGCTGAGACTGGAGGTTGTGAGTTTGAAGCCAGCCTGGGCAACAGAGCAGGACCCTGCCTCAAAAGAATGAGTAGTCTTACATTCAGTTAAAGAAATAGTAGCATTGCTTCTGTTTTCATAGATGATATACAAAAATCACACAAACCCAGGGGTGACCAAACCCTTGCAAACCTTATCGTTGGGAACTGCCCCTTATAGCCTAAGCATGTCTCACACTGCCACGGCCCGCCCGCGAGGCCAGCGGGTACACACTCCATTCGAGAAGTCTCACTGGGAGGAATTTTAATAAAGCACACCTTACTTTTAGGAAGAATGCAACCACATTTCTGCAAATAAGAATATAAGACGTGGAGCACTCACGATGGGCAAAGGTATTGCTTCTTTTTCCCCTTTCCTTTCTTTGAAGACTTTTCTTTAGAATGGACTTCTTCAACCCATAAGGAGAGCAAAATGAAAAAGGCAATCGCCAATAAAAACTTCATCTTGAGAAGTTAAATTTCAGGAGGTCGATCTGCAAGAGAGTACAAGAAAGGCTTACGATGAAAAAACCAATGCTAACTGAAAGACGTCTCCGAAAGGGGAGGGCCGTTGCTCCCCACAGGGCAGACGCCCTCGGACTTCAGACCCCCCTTCCCGGCCTGCGTGCTCTGGTTCGCTCTGCCGAGTGTGCAAAGCCACTTACAATGGTAGTCTTAAAGGGTTTTGTTTTGTTCTTAATATAGTAGTAGAAGTCTATTCGAATAATGACACATAGAAAATAAGACCCTAGTGAGGCATGACAGGATGTCACATGAAATGTCTGAGTGGAAGGCTATATAAAATTGTAAACTGATACTGAGTTGCATGAAATATCGAAACAGGCTTAGAAAGATAGCCACCAGGATCCTGAACATGTGGTAAACAGTTATCTCAGGCCAGTCCATCTGAAGGCATTTGGGGCTTTTATTTTAAATTTCCATATTGTTTGGGTTTTGTATATATATTTTTTCAAAAACAAAAGCATTTTAACGGAAAAGACAATTTAGAATGTAAAATCTGGCAGATACTAAAGTAAAAAATTGTATCGGTTTAACATTCTGTTCATGGTGTTTTGTTCTACACACATTAAATTTGCAAGGTAGCTCTTACCCAAGAAAGCGGCCCAGTCGTTTAGGTAATGTCTCGTTGGGCGCCTATGTGACGCTCACATTGTTCATGCAGGATTACTCCGTCAGCTGTCGTTTCACTAAGGAAACAGCGAGTGTGCTGGCTCCCTCAGACACCTCCTAAGGCCATCTCAGCTCCATCCTGACGCTCCAGTGATAACCGGGGCCTGCCACAGGCTCCGTGCAGCGCCAGATCGGGCCGTGCAGCCTTCCCAGCCTAACTGCTTCTCCCTGCTCGTGTCACCCTCGGGAATCTGCTTCTCTGTGCTCTTTCCGTCTGCTCCCTCCGCCCGGTTTATCGTTTCCTCCCCAAGCCGGCATTAGGACCTCCGGAGCAAAAGCGAGGCTGAGGGGCTGCCCAGGCCGGCCCAGGGCTCCCTGTGGCCTGCCCAGGCCCACCCCTGCCAGACAGACGCCTCTGGTGCAGCAGGTGCCTCCACCCTGCAGCCTCCCCTGTCCAGGGCCTGGTCTCCGCAGGAGCGGGGCGACGCGGTGTCTGCCTTCACCCCACTGCCAAGGCCACCACAGCAGAAACTGGGGGATCCGCTGCCTCGCTCTTCCCAAGGCCCGGCCTCCGACCCCCGCAGCCCGGCTGGGTGCACCCTGCCAGCTCCCTGCTGTAGCCCGCCTGCACCCCGACATCCCCCTGCACGCCGCAGTGCCCGCATCGCACCTCGGCCCGCTCTGTCAGCAGAGGCGCCTGGGGTCCCTGACCTCTGCCTGCGCCGCCTCCCCCCTCCCCCGAGGCCGCCAAAAAGAGCCCGCCCGCGGCCCCGCGAGCTGGCGGCGCTGCAGTGGGTGGCCGCGGTGCGGGGCTCAGAGCACAGCTGTCCCGGGCTCAGCCGTCCCCGTCGCCGCCAGCGCCTGACGCGCCTGCTCGGGCCGCGGAGCCTGCGCCGTGCGCGCCCAGGAGGGCTGGGAGGGGACAGAGCCAGGGACAGCGATGCGCGGGGGCGGGGCGGGCCAGGGTCATGACTGGCTGGCGTCCCTGCTGTAGGGTACAGGGGCCGCGGGGGAAGCCCCGAGGTCACGCTGCACCACAAGGATGCAGGCTGAGAAGGGCCGCCGGGAAGCGCCGCCAGGGGCGCAGGACGCGGTGCCCTTCCCGGACCAGAGTGGACAGAGCCCTCTGGGTTCCATTCTTTGCTTAACATCCTGGCCTTTGCTAAGGCAGTCCCATTGCCCTCTTAGCCGGCTCCCAGGGGCAGCTTTACAATGGCCAGAACTCCTGGGGCTATGCGGGAGAAGCAGGCCAAGCTATGTCCGCCCTTTACATGAGGGACGCCCAGTCCACTGCCCCAGCCACCAGCAAGGTCCCCTGGGCCGGCCAGCTTCCGCATCCTCCCGCCTGTTTCACAGACCAGAAATCAAAGCCCAGAGACTGGGAAGGCCCACGCAGGGGTGTGACCTAGGTATGATGAACCCAACTCAAAGCCAGTGGTTCCTCGTGGCCGAGCCTGGGGTAGCCTCTGCTGCACTGCTGGGTCCCCCTGCCTGTTGTCCAAGTGCTCCTGACTGGGATGTGCGGCCCACGGGTAAGAGTTCTGAGCTCCGGGCACCTGAGTGTACACCTGGGTGGTTCTGGGTAAGAGACGCTGTCAGGAGCACTGCAGAGAGCGGGAGTGGAGCACGTCAGCCGTGGGAGCCGAACAGCTGCTGCTCTGAGAGCTGGTCTCAGTAAGTGTCTCATTTAAACAGCTGTACTGCTCCGGGTGGCGGTGGGGGTCACACGGGGCCCACAGAGGAGTTCGAGTCCTGCACCTGGGCTTGAAAGTCCCCCTGGGAGTGTGCGTGTGAGTGAAGGAAGGGGAGAAGGGACTGAGGGGTGGCCATGCCCTGGGAGCGTTTTGTCACTTTCCCTCCTCCTGCCAGCGCACATGCCCTGCAGCAGAAGAACAGCAACGAAGTCTACCACTTGGAGCCCTCAAAGTAGATCAGACTATTCCCAGACTACAAAGGAGAATTGTGCTGCTGATGTGCGTTTCGTAAAATATGACCCAAGCCACCCAAAGCTCCACGCCGGGATGGAAGCAGGAGTTGTGAGGGGGAACGTCAGGGACTTCCTCGCCTGCATCGAAGGCTCCCCCGAGGATGCTTAGAGAGGGCAGGCGACCTCGGCAGGCAGGCCTGAGGTTCCACACAGCCCTCGGAATCTTCTCCGCTGTTCAGTGAATGGAGGCTTTCATTTACCTGCTTTTAGAAGGGAACTATAACCAACGACAGTTAAAATTCCCGTCCCTTCAGTATAAACCACTGTCCGATTCAGGGATTTCCAGATGCGTCGCATTTTAACTGTCATTAAGGCTAACACCTTTTCTGTGACCTAAAATGTAACGGTACATATTTAGGAGAAAGGTTTTGAATCTATGCCTTTCAAAAAGAGATTTAAAATTTTGTTTTTGGGAACCAGCAGTTAGCATAATGGCTATGTCATTGGACTCCCATGTAGTCGACTGCGGTTCACGTCCCGGACCCGGTGGCTTAAAACTCACGCCGGGCCCGTGTGCGTGCATGCCCAAGATCCCGAGAGGAGAATGGAGGAGAAGGGATTGTGGCATGAACATCCCCCCTGGGGGTGATTTCTCACTTTCTGTCTCTCTGTCTCTCTCTGTCTGTCTGGCGAGTACACGCCCCCTATAGCAAAAACCTCTCCAAACCAAAACAAAAAAATTTGTTTTTGTTTTGGCATGTTATCAAAAACAAACAAACAAACTAGCAATTTCCTGAAATGACTCCTCGTCGACCTCCAGTCCATTTGGCTCGTGTAATTCCAGGAAGGTGAGCGAGTGCTTGAGGTGTTCGTGTCCACCCGCGCGCCAGGCAGGCAGGCCGGCCCTGGGCGGGCGCGAAGCTACGCCCACAGTAGAAGTATTTGGTTACCCAATTTCATTATGAACATTTAAATGCTGCTTTTAACCAGTTTGTAGCTCCACGTGGGAACTGGTCTGGAAGAGGAGAAACCCGAAGAAATGGGAGCCGGTCAACGTCTAAGGTGGAAAGAATAAACTGGGACTTTAGAACTATTTCCCCTGCGTTTGAAACAATGTATTTTCTTCTCTCCACACTGACAAGTGGACAAAAATACATTCAGGAACTGGCCTCTTCATTGCCACAGTTTATCAAGATGATACTGTTTTGTGACAAAGTAGGGCATTCTTGACTTGAGGGCTTTGGCTTGGCTGGACACCAGACAACCATGGCCAGACGCCGAGCCCGCCCCCCCGCAGCCGGAAAACGCCAGGCGCGCCCCACGGCAACCGGCCCGCGGGGGCCTCGCTCCCTGATAGAGCGCGAGGCCCCCTCCTCTCAGGCAGGCACTGCAGTGTCTGAACAGCCTCAATACAAAGGAGTTACTTTTAAAACTCACTGTAATTCCAGAAGATGGGGAAAGCCAGTGATGAGCAGCCAGATAACGAGACGGTGTCCTCGTCCCGGCGAACCCCCCATCATTGTCACCTTTCGGGTGTCTGCTGTGTGTGTGCACGTGCATGCCGTGTTCTGAGCAGTTACGCGAGAGACGCTGCTTCAGAGCAGCTCCGGGCAGCATGCGTCCTGGCCCTGCAGACGACTCTGCCCATCAGGTGCAGCGAGGACCGTGAGGAGTTGCAGACCAGAGGGCCTGTAGGTGACAGCGTCAGAGCCGTCTCCTCACCAGCCCGACAGAGCCCTGCCTCAGCCTCCGGGTAGCTGCGACTGCAGGCGCCCGCCACCGGACGGAGCTTTTCTGTGGGCCAGGAGTCCATCCCAGGCCCCCATGCAGCCCGCCGCCGAGGAGCAGCCATGTGTAGACGCAAATCCTGGGGGTGGCAGGTGGTGTCGGAGGAATTTCTAAGTACCAGAGAACAAAGAGAGGCTTCCATTTAGCCAAGCGGATCGTGTCTGTACCCTGTGGCTCTCCCTGGTGCTCTGGTTATAAACCCACCAGAACGTAGCCACGGCCCCCCGGTGGCATGACCACATCCACACCCCATGCTAGGACATGGCACAGGGACTAAGCGTCACTTAATCCCCTACAAGACGGTGGGGACAGCCAAGCCCCAACACCTGAACTGCGGGGACACCGGCACCGCCCACTCACACCACGTTCCAAACGCAAACCCTGGGGACAGACACTCTCCTTACCCCAGAGGACAGAGGGCCACCTGAATGACCGCCTGGAGATTGCACTGCTGGGTGAGCCCACGGCGGAGCTTCGTAGTGCTCATTCCCCACTTTGTGGACATGTGGCCCTCAGCAGGGCTTTCGGCTCACCTGCCCTTCTGGCTGGCCCCATCCAGGAGGCATAATCGCATCAGTGTGTGAGCCATGGCACTGCGGGGACAGCTCACAGGGGCACATCGGCAGGGAGATCCCCTCCAAATGCACCGAGTTAGTCCTTACTAAATTCCAGACTCTCCAGCTGAAGGTCAGTGCTAAGACTAGGTTTTCTCTCCCACATTTATCTGGTTGGTTCTCCCAATGTGCCTTACCCTGTACTGACCTTTACCCTATTTCAGAAGTGAATATTTTTGCAAACGTCACTCTGATTCTTATTTTAACATTTCAGAGCCTTGACCCCTTTATGTATGTTAGATTGATTATTCAGCAGTTCCAGTCTATTGAATTTAAAAATAACTACTTTGTATTTTTCCCTTCCATGTGAAAACATTTATGAAGAATAGCACAGTTGAGATATTAATTCACAATTTCCTACTGATTCTGGGCAAATTTAATTTAATTTTCTCCCAATTTATCAATAATGCAAAAATTTTGCATGAAACAAGTCCCAGTTCTACTGTAAGTATATACTGTTTTCAACAAATTGCTGTTTCTGAAGAGAACTTTCCTTTTGGTTTAATACTCCAAAGCAGATTACGTACGTGGAGGCAGATGCGTAGGTCTAATAATTCCTTTCTGTTCTTTGCAGGACCATCATCTTGTTCTCTTTTGGTAGAGGTTTTTGCCTTAGAGAAAGTGAGAAGTCACCCTCCAGTGGTGATGGCCGTGCTGCAATCCCTTCTCCATTCTCTTTCTGAGACCTTGGGCATGCATGAACACGCGCCCGGCATGATTTGGTTTGCAAGCTGTGGGGTCCAGGACTCAAACCTCACTCGGCCGTGTGAGAGTCCAGTGACATAACCACTACGCCATCTGCTGGCCCCACAGCAC